CACCGTAGTCTCTTTCGTTAACAATGTGCTCCTTCGCTCAAAGAACGCCAAACCTAGTAGAGCCAGTCTTTTTGTAATAATCGACGCCTTGTCTCGCGGGTATTTGATTGTCGTTGACTGAGAGAACTACACGTATAATCGCTTGAAATTGAAACTGATTCCCATGTATAAACGTAGTTTTGACAAACTCGCGTTTGTTTAAACATCGATTCGCTGTTGAAGCTTCGGGATATGAATAAAGTCACTGCCACCGATAATGAAGATATAGCGTGAATATAAAATTTCCACTGGCTTGTAAGCTTTAAGATACAGATGGAGCATGCGACGAAACGCTTCAAGTGGTCACTGTTAGATAAAAAGCTTGTTTAGTGGCGTAATAACCGACGTAGCCAATCTAATTTCACGTGAAGATCCGATCGGCGCCGCATAATTGACCTAATCAAATTCTCCACCGCCCGTGCTAGCCGAAAAGCGTAAAAGCATCGGCGTCAACTGCCATAAGTAAGCATGTCATCACGCGTTACGAACTTAGTTCTGCTCAAAAGACGCGGGAATCCCCTCCTCGGCAGCCTAGGACCAGAAAGTAAGCGCGGGCCTTCGGAGCAATTGAGTATTTATCGCGATTCGCGTCAGCCATCCGAAAGATTCCACGGCGGATATCCCTTTTGAATAAGGGATGATTGCAAACTACATGAAACTAAATATGAAGGATATTTTGCTAGTAAGAATCTCATTGTACACGACTGACATCGCGCATTATTGAGCATTAAACATGACGAACTTGACGACAATTTTTAAGTAGGCCGGATCGGTAGATATAATAACAGTTCAATATTGCTCAGTACTCTTTTTAAATGCATAAACGTCGATTCACGGGACACGCAGTCGGCCAATCGGGGCTTATAGGTGCCGCTGAGTCTACACCCCACTGGCGAGCGTACCCCCTCGGTATCCCCGGCGAGAACAAGGCGCATCTACGGAGGTCCTGGTTGGGGCATTCTACGCGTATATACGTGGATCGCTTTGCAAAAGATCCACAAACGCGGCGTGATGCGCGTCCAATCAGCGCGGCGTAGCCAGCTGCCGTGTGGGTAACGCCGGCCGAGGTGGTACGAAGCCCCCTGGTTCATTCATCAAGGCCCTGGTTATGTACAGCGCGCAACAGCCCCCTAAAAAATCGCTCCTTCCTGTCGCTTGCTTTCCGAACCCCGCGTGTGGCTAAATCACGCCGATGCCATTTCAAAGTTCGTTAGAACGCACCTCGAGGAACCTTCCCTCTCATCGAGTATCGCGTTATCCCTCGGTCGGGTATTCCTCGCGGGCGAATTCTGTGGCTGTGCGAAATAACTAATCTAACAGCTTCGAGTCGGAAAATAAACGATTTTCTCGGTTATCGCGTGAGACACGATTAATTAATTATGATTAACGATAATTTGATTCTAAAACAGATGCGTAGTCTTCCACACGACGCGATCGTCTCCTTGAAAAGCATATACTCGGGTTTCGCGATTGACCTCGAGTATTGAGATAAGGGGTTCCTACGTATCAAAAGTCTTGTGTCGACATTGTTGAACATTACCGATTCGAGATCGTCGTTAAATTCGCAACACCGTGATGCGAGTCTCGTTGCACGATATATTCCCATAGTCCCCGACATCATTTCGCTAGGATGCAATGGGCGAGCATGCAACTGCTCGTTTGCAGTCGTATGAACGCACGCACGCACGCACGCACGCACGCATCCCCCACGCCGGATTTGCACGGCTTTCATTGGCTCGGTTAAGTTTGATTAATCTATTCGGGCGAACCATTGTTCGAAACACGGCAGGCAATCCCATTGGTTGAAAAGGACCGACGATGTACTGCACGGGGGGCTGTATTGCCATTAAGGGAGGGCAGCCATCATGCCCGCGTGAACTGGTTCTGTGTGTTTTTCGCTCATTTTATTTCCCCTCCAACGGTAGTCGACGCTTCGTTCGTTGGAGTAAATTCACAAATTGACGGGAGAAAAAAGTGAAAGCAGCGTGGTTAACAAAAAGGGATATTTCGGCAACAGCGGTTATCTGTCATGCGATTTGCTCATCGAACGATTCGATGAACAACTTCTCGCATCGTATATTTCATATAGTGCGCGCTCGTGCGCTGTGATAGCGCGTTAGCAACATCAAACTTGCGCAATCCTTCTCTCAATTAGTCAAGTCGGAACATAAATTCACAAACATCTTAAATACGCGAGGAAACATGTTTTTATCGTGAATTATTATTGCCGCTCGCGTAGCGGCGATTACATCCGATGACTAGAGCGATAAATCAGTCTTAGAAGTTTACGATTTCGAGACACTTGCGCGTTGGAGAACCACGCTCAGCAGTGACGCAAAGCGTTTACGAGTGAAAGGATTTTGCATCATTGAACGACCAGTTTCCACATGGAATTTCCGCGATTTCATTCTGTTACAGTCGAGACACAGTTAATGAGAACAATTACGCGCGAGGAGCAATTCTCAAGGTGTCGGAAACATTTTGTTCCGCCGCCTTGTCCTCTTTGCTCAACCACTCGTCATTGCCCTCGATGTATATTTTTGAAATGTTAATATATAGAATAATATTAATATATAGAATAATATAGAGTAATGTTAATAATTACAGGCAGTTGCGACGGTAATTATGTGGGAATTTGTACGAAATTATCGTTCAGAATCGATCTCACAGGATATAATCACGCTAGCTGTTTTATGTTGTACAAGGTGGCTTTATATCGTATAAATATATGTTATAAATATGTATAATGGCGAATATAGTCCGAAGTCACGCAACGTACGCGTACGCACGGATTGGCCGTGACGCCGCCCTTAGACTTCCATCGTCAGGGTGCGGTTTGAGCTTGGGAGGTCGTCACACTTATCAGCTTTGCAGTTGCCGATACATCTGTTCTGGTTAGAAAACGCAGCGAGAGGTAAGATCAGCATTTACGTTAAAAAAAATTATAGTAAAAAATGAAATCTTGTAAAAACAGAGAGAAAATCGGAGTACCATGATACAGTTATCCGCCATTGTCGAAATTATCACGAAGTACAAAAGTGCACTCGTTAACTTGCCAAGAGTTTTCGGGATTGGTCCATTCTATTTTTACGATGAGATACTTTCTTTTTTTTTTGCGATGTCTTATGATCATGAGATATTCCGTAAACTTTCCGTAAAAATATTGCCTGAAAATTGTTTCGAGTTATTTCTTGTCGTTGATTCGTCTCGTTGCTGTTAAAATTCCACTTTAGCTGTAAGTTACTTCGCGTATTGGATTTACAATTATTCAACTCGAGTTGAAATTTTGATATTACTTTGACGCTCTTAAGAATACTTTGCGCCTACTCAGACGATTTATAGTCTAGATAAAACCTACTTTGACGATATTGATATTCATTAACTTTTCTTTTGAACCTTTAATTTTACCTTCTCAAAATGTTGACGCTACTTTGACGCTTTTAAAAATAGCTTGAGCGTACTCAGATAATCTACAACCTAGGTGAAACCTATTTTGATGATATTGACACTTATTTTTGAGTCGGAATGTAGAAGCTAAAGCTTCAATAGAAGTTCGCAATTGAACCTAGTTTGCTTCCTAAGATCCTACTATTATACAACCTACTTTGACGCTAAAGAAAGCGAAAGCAGAAATTTCAAACATCATCAGGGTTAAAGTAGAAGTAAATTATATCATTAGAATTAAACCTACTTTGCTATCTTAGCTCCTACTGCAGTGTAGAATTCAAGATTCAACATAGGATCAAAATTTCGACTCGGGAAGTCAACGAAAAATGACTATAAAGAATGTGTGTGGCAAGTTAACAATTTTTGAAGCACTTTTCGACGGTTCTCACGACGACACACGACCGCGTGTGATACCCAGTTCCTGACCTACCACATCGCCATTGGGGTCAGGACAATCCTAAGGCAACAGATTGGGGGGGAAGATATTTGGTACGATTGGCGATGAGAAAGAGGAAGGCGAGTCTCAAAGAAGCCGCTCTCGAAGCAACCCTATATTCCGCTTATAGGGGGGTTGGAATATGGGCGGGTATCGTTGAATGGCGAATCATGGGGATAGGCCAAACATATATGTGAGGTCCGGGAAAAATAATATCCGATGTATCCGCGTATATGGGGCACGGAGTCGGTACGGAGGCCGTAGCAGTCTCGTATGTGCGCGACGTATGTCCGCGAACGCGTTCGTTCAATGAGGCACGAAGTTTTAGAGTCGGAGATAGCCGGGAAGGTAAGGAGGGGCGAATCGTTACGTGGAGGTTTCGTGCCTAGGATCGCGAAGTAAAAGACGGAAAAAGAGAGGGCCCGACCACCTACTCGGCCGACACAATGGGGCACAAATGCGTGGCGACAGGACCCGTAGATATACGGCAGGCTGATTGCTCGTTGTCACCGTATGCGCCCGATTGTCGGCTCTTCTGGCAGCCGTGGGAGCCGTGATCAACAGCGCTTTTGCGAGGGCGGCTCAAAACCGGGAGACGAATCTGACGATTCCCGGACCAATCGCGAATTATTGTACGCGCCGCTTTTCTTACGCCAACGTGTCTTAGGCTCGTATTAAATAATCGTTACTCGAAATCTATCTCATGTGAGACACTCAGATTTTTACTCGGAGTCAGATCCAACTTTTTCAGTTGAATTATGATAAGTATATGACATTTATATTTGTGATCGCGTAATTCTACCACTGAAGAACTCTCATCTAGCTCTGAATTCAAATCTGAGCATCTCGCTTGAGACGATTTCAAGTGATAACTATTAATATGAGCATTATAGATGCTTCTTCTCGAGTCTCGCGAAAGATTCTGCGATAAAATGAACAATAATATTTCCTCGGATATTTGTTTTCCGAAATCATTTCACCTTATTTGAGACAAAAAGAAATAACTAGTAAATTTTTTTAAGTATGCGCTTACCTTGTTGGCGAACTGTCGCTGAGGGTGCAATTGAAGGATACAAGTTATTTCTCGTAAAATTCATTTATTATGTAACGTATTATACAATCCATTTGTAATCGTTAGGTGCGTTATGCGGGCTGTGGTCGTCATTTACAGTAATCTTAAATAACTGGCCAATTAAGTAATTCGTTGAATAAGATCGCAACATTGATCGGACAGTAGCAATATTTTTTTAATCACTTTCCTGTACGATTCCGCCACTATTATTCACGCGTAGATGTGTACAACCTTATTATAAAATATATTTATATTTGATCCGTTTATTCACAGATAGGTACATCTATATCGTATAACTAGTACAAGGCAATTTTCTAAATCACTAAAACATCGAGGCACTGAAGTTACGATTGTTTGTAATTGCTAATTATAATAACGAATAAGTCGTGGCTTAATTACGATATTTCCTAAGAATCGGTGCATGGTCTACGTTTATACGTACGATTTAACGTGAGTTTAGTCTAACATAAATATGCGGTAGCGTCACTGGAGAAATACTATCTAAGCGATTACGATGTATTTACATTCGATTACTTTTTTGCGCATCGATCGTTACGCAGTGGGCGCATTTCTATAAATAAAATGTCTCTCATTAAAATTTCAAACACAATCTTGCTTGGCAATTTACAGTTACACGACTGGATAATTACACGACTGGATAGCACTTTCTTTATCGAAGCAAATATAATATTTAATAAAAAGCATATAATTAACAAAATTTACAAAAAAAAATATTTTCTAGTTCTCTGTAAGATCTTGGCGATGCACCGTGATAACTCTGCAATTTCGCAATCGTTATCACAGTTTACAATCTTTGTTCGGAGAAACATTCAGACGTCGCAAATCGAGTTAAGAAAAACTCAGTCGTCCTATAAGTGTTGACTAACACATGAGTCTTTCCGTTTTCTAAACAAAAAAGAAAGAAAAACAACGCGAATGAAACGTGACAGTACAACAACGTAACAACAAAAGCTAAGAAAAATATTAATTATTTTTACACGGATACAAGTAATTTTTCCGAGTTGTACGCAAACATTTTTACATCCAATTTTGAATTGGTAAACAATCAAGACGGATAACAATAACGATGAAGCGACTACGTTCAAGTTAGCCCCCTCTCTCATTGTACAATTCAATCGTACACGCGATCGATTCGATGACGATCCAAGCAGAACAAAAGATTCCGATGACATCGAAATGATGTCAAAATGCTGAGGAAACGATCAAAAGACTCACTTTTCAATCACGATTCGATCACTCCCTCGTCACTTCGACGTCATCGTGATTTTCTGTTCTGTTTGGGGAAATCATCCTTACGACAGACTTATTTAGTGCTTCAATGAACTCTTCCGCAAACCTGGGAATCAATGCCACCCAAGTACGGATATCCGCTCTTAGCCTCGCTAGGGCTGTGTGGTGTCACATGATGCGTCATTCCCGTCGGGGCTGGTACCCCGGAGGAGGATGCACTTTGCACCATGCAGGCGCTCATGTTAGAGGCGGTCGGACTTACGCTGCCACCCAGACTGCCCAGATTGAGATTGCTGGAAGTCAGGTTGGAGGCAAGGTTACCGCTGCCGTAATGGGAGGCGTTGAACAATCTGGAACGCATAAAGTCGCACGTCCGAGTGCCGAAGAATGAGCGAAATAAATTTTTCGACAGGACGTAAAAAAAAGTTCCATTAGCTTCGTTGTACGCACAGAAAAATACATACTACATTCAAGTAAATGTTACTTGCTTCAAGTTTATATCCTAAGCAATCTATTATAGGCTCGTCAAATTTATTCAAGGTATATCCAGAATCCTAGTAAGTTCAGCGTTTCAATCAAGATTATTAAATTAAAATAAAAATTCAGTTTTCTTACTACATGGAGTCGATTAAATTTTTTCTTAAATAAAGTTTTGTAATATTCTTGTAAAAAGGTAAATTCTCTCTTTGAGGACATGTGAAATTTTTCTCAAATTTGCGCGATGAGTATATTTTAAGACTATTATCAAGAAAATATTCTTTGTTAAAAGTAACTATTGCTTAAAGAAAAGGAAAGTAAAGTGAGCAATCGTTTCTCTTAGCAGTAGAATAGTATTTTTCTGTGTGTATACGAGCAAGGAAGAGAGAGAGAGAGAGAGAGAACAATCACCGGAGAGATCAATAGGTAATGTCCGAGGAATGCATTATCCGTTGATATTTGTAATTAACCTTCTGTTCAATATGTTGAATATAAATTGACTATTGTATGCGCACATCGTGCGCGCGCGCGTGTGTGTTCGCGAATGCACACCTAAGAGACGTTATCGCGACACGACGAAATGAATCGTAGTTACAATGGTGAAAGGTGTCCACACGTGCTAATACGAAAATGAAATTCCGCCATGGCTCTCAAAGTTACCGCCGTTTGCAAGCCGATACCGCATACACTCATACACACACTGCGAATCGGTTAGGGCGTGTCGAGGACTACGGCAGCGGTCGATTTCCAAACGCCGTCGCGGCCCTTTGAGGATTTCGGTATACCAACGTGATTAAGGGCCCCGAGTCGTGTCTCGTGAAAGGCAGTTTCGCCCTTGCTTTCAATATTATCCGGTCGCTTTTTAACATTCCGAGCCACCAGGGGATTGCAGTAATTATCGTAATAAACGGGAGGGCACATGTGTTTCTCGTATCCTTGATTCGGAAATAATAACAAATGGAGAGACCATTAGGAGTATTTGTCGCTCCTGTTGTTTGTATTTCATTAGTGCGCGGAGAAAATATTATATGTATAGTTTCTTTTTGCATATAAATTATTTTCCATTTTAGCTTCTGTTTTTAGTAACGCACATTGAGAAAAATCGCTCGGTTACCAGAACAAAAGCACGTTTGCAGTTTAATGATCGTTAGAGAGACAGATTGAACAGTTACCGTTGCAAGTCATTTCTTATCATTTGTCATTTTAACAAATATGTATTGTCAAAGATACTAGATCACATTTGTTCTTGTATATTTAAGTTAGATTAGTTATGTCTTCATTACAGAAGTGTTGCTTAGAGCAGTAAATTGAAAGTAACAAATCATTTGTTCTCACTATGGGAATAAATCATTTGTCGTTCCATATCAATAAGTCAATTATTATGGGCATTGATATTTCGGTAAACTAGCAGAACTTTCTCTCAGTACAGGAATAGACTGTTAATAAAATCAGTAAGATCCATTTTATTAAGGAACATAGCAAATTTCGCGAAAAACATAGCAAACTTTTTAATAGCGTATTTCAGTTCCTAAAATTATATAAATAACATAAATTTCAGTTTCTAAAATAAAATGAAAATAAAATATAAATATGAAATAAAAAGAGGGAGAGAGAACAATCACTTACTGCAGAATATTGATCTATTCCTCTGTTAAAATCCTATAATGATTTTCACTATAAAATCTTCTCTGCAAGCAATTTTAACATATCGGAAATATAAAATAATTAATATATAAAAAACATTTTTCGATAGAAAATTTATCTATAAAATCAATCTTTGATATACTGATATAATTACTGCGTTGATATATAGTATTATATAATACCGAATCACCAATGGTCGTTGTAGCATTTAACGTGTTAATCAGAGTTTAACCGCGTGTTAAACGCGAAACTTCTCCTTTTAAAGGAGTATCAATTCGAGGCTAGAGAGATTAAAGCGTATCGGCAACGAATGATTATAAAGCGCAGTCAGCCCCTTGACCTCGACGCGACGGTTAAGCACCCTAAATCTCACCGGTGTCGGACCTAATTCGCGCACCTAACTTTCTTTTTTATTTAGAAGGTAGCGCGAACTCTCTGGCGGAAGCCGCGCGATTTATCGACCATATCCCATGACCGGTCTACGAATCTATTTTCGTGCGGAAGAATGTCCCGTTCCTCCACCCACAAATCAACTCCCTTCTATGGTTGCGTTAACGAATTCTTAAGAATTTAGCAGTGGCAGAATTTACAGTTTGCAATTCGCCGAAATTAAGATCGATTTGCGCGTGTAACAGATGAAATATAAAACTTGGCGTGAGACGTTCTATCGAAGACATAGGCTTGCAGCTTCTTGAGAGTATCTGTCATAAATTTTTTTTCACAAATTTTACTGCATTTTTTACTATACCCACTCTTTTCTCCAACTAATGGATGGAACACATTGTTATCACGGCTTATGAACATCTCTCGACACATTCCACTCCGGTTTCCACACTATTTCACGCGGAATCATATTTCCTAGTGTCTTGCTTTTTTATTTATTCTTTTTGTTGCTGAGAAACGCATTATTAACGCGACTCACGACCGTTTCACGACACTCGGCGCGGTTTCCGCACTAACCTAGACGCGAAACGGCAAAAACAGCGACAGCCATCGACAGCAATAGTGAAACCGTCGGCTCAAACGGGAGAGCCGACGGCGGAGAGAGAGAAGACCCCCCACGAGACAGTCCGTCGCTCTACCGGGGGTCCGCGAGCATTATCCCGGATGTTTAAAACCGACCGAACACTCCGTGCACCACGTGATGGTTCAGCGGTGAACGCGAGTCGGCGGTTGCGAGTGCCCGAGCGAGACAGAAAGCTGGAAGCATAGCCGCGAGAAAGAGACGCACGCGGCAACGCGCGGAGATAAAGACGGCGAAGCCGGGATGTTTCGAACAATTAATTCAGCCATTGTGGCGTAATAACAGGTTGCCCCGGTGGCCGGCTTGCTACAGTGTGTTGTTACACGCCGAGCGGACGAGCCGATTCAGTGGAGAGAAAGAGAGAAAGTGGAGAACGAGGAAGCGAAAGAGAAGTAGAGAGAAAGAGAGAGAGAGTGTGTGAGAGAGTGAGGGAAAGAGAGGGAGAGAGAGAGAGATAGAGAGAAAGAGAGAGAAAGAGAGCCAACGGGGCCCCACCGACACGTTTTCTGTGTGGTCCTCAATTATGTTGCTTCTTGGGCCTCCGTAATGAAACGCTACCGGCTAATAATCCAACCCGGGTCTTGATCCTTCGACGCTTCGCGCAGGGTGTACGTAGCCGCGGCATGATCCAGCTTTAACCGATCGCTACACCACGAGGTAGCGCCGACCGGTCGCGAATAATCGTTGCGGGGGTGTTTGCGGCTGTGATACTCGCGCGGTACACGCGGTGGTGTAAATGGCGGAATTTCATTTCGTTTCAACGAGAAATGTTGAGAGACGTATCGTACTATGCATCGGGAAATAACAACCCATGTTCGAAATTGTCCCCCTCATCTAGGCATGACTCGAATTGAAAGGAGAACATTAAAATATTTTTACCCGAAAGATCTACCAAAAATACTATTTCTCTTACTTACACTTTTTAAGCAAAAAAATTTTTTTTAACATTCATCTTTGGTTCCACTTTGAAAATTTCGTCCAACTTGAAGGATTAATGGGAATCTTGGAGTAAAGCATTTTTATAAGTTTATCCTTCAAGTTCGACGATATTTGCAGGATTAAGGTAGAAGCAAAATTTCGACTCGAGCGACATATTTTCCCTTCGCGATTCTCTTCTCTTGTTCGCGTTATCGCCTTGCAAAATAGACGTAGTACATCATATGATTGTTGAAACTTACCCGTAATTTTCCGGTGTCGCTCGTGGCCATTGCTGCTGCGCCGCATAGTAGTTCTCCCCATAGTTGTAATGTTGAGGATAGCCGGCGGTGGTTGCTGCGGCGGCAGCAACGCTCGCCTGTCCGTAGCTCTGATAGCTCTCAGCACCACTGCCATAGTGCTGGGTTTGGAAAGACTGAAGGCTCATAGTGTTGAAGGCATTCAGTTGTTGACTGTTGAGCTGCTTGCGAAGCCTGGCACGTCTGTTGCTGAACCAGACCTGCACTCGCGCTTCCGTCAGTTTCGTTCTGTGAAAAAAAGGACAACCGCGTCCATTATTAATAAGAGTAAACGTCAGACACGATTATCATTACAAAGTGACGAAGCAACGTGACTTGATTTTGTAATCTTTTCTTGACGTGCACAAAACTGGCAAACATTTAATTTTGACCGAGTTGATACGCCTTCTTGTTTCAATTTTATATCTTTCTCGATTACTTAGCGATCGATTGTTTAATATTTTACATGGAAGGAAGAAAAGAAAAGGAAAGAGGAAAAAGGAATTGAAATGATAAAAATGAAATTTTGTGCCGTACATAAGATAGAGAGCTTTATGAAACCTGACTCACTTTTGTGCGAGTTCTTCCCTCGTATATACATCGGGATATTGCGTGCGATGAAAAGCCGTTTCCAGTTGCTCCAGTTGCTCGCCGGTGAAGGTAGTCCTACTCCTTCGTTGTTTCCTTTTGAGTGCGATACCCGGCTCGCTTTCCGTGTCAGAGTCATCACCGCTACTTCCAGCTGAAGACAATCAATCATCGTTCAACTTAGATGCTATTTGCAAAATCAATTGACTTTGCGAGGGGATCAGCGTCTCAAGAAGAGCGCATGACCGGAAAGTCAGAAATAAATCTATTGACGAAGAGTTGCCAGATCGGAATTTAAACAGCGATATTAAACATCGATAGCTCTCCCGAGAGGAGGACGCGAGCCTGAGTTCTTTGACTTAATAGCGGCGAGAGCGTCTCTCGGTCCAGCACGTGCTGCACGTCAGATACCGAAGATAGGAAGCGAGTTGTTCACGCCCACAGTTCACACGCCGGTCTCAGCAACCCACCATTAAGACCCTTCTGATTACAGCCGTGCCAGCCGAACCTATACTAAACTAAAACACCAGAGAAATTAGGGTCCGCCGCGAAGAAATTAAGTTCTTTGACATGTCTCGTCCCACCCGAGCTAAACGAAAGCTCGTGGAACGTTCCAAGTGGGATCGTCCGGTACTAGAGACACTATTTATGAAATTTCGTGTTTGATCGGTAACTTACGATCCATGATCAATTAACTTCAACAATTACACCGACGATAACAATTAGCGTAAATTGTAACGGCGTTTTACACGAACAGAATTTTATGGTAAAAATTGCCACAGAATTTTGTAGTCGAGAAATAGACCGACATTTTGCAGTGATTGACGGTCCTATTTATATTTTAGAAACTGAAATATGCTATTGAAAAATTTACTGTGTTTGTAGCGAAATTTACTATGTTCCTTAGCAAGATAGACTATTCCCGTACTATTATGGAAACAATAAAATTTAAAAGGATTTATGTGAAAAGAGATACTATAATATTCTTTCCGCATGTCAATTTGTAAATCTAAAAACATCATTGTGAATCTAAAAACTTTTTCCCGATTTAAGTCCAACGGGAACGAACGTTTAAATCAATAGCACCTGCGCGAACGTCAGCCCCGGAGTGCACGCGGCGGTTCCCTGCAGATTAAAGACTGCCGCGCGCTCGTAAATCGTTGCAACGCTTTCAGGGGTATACCCAACGATTTTTTGGACCTCGACGCTTTTCGCGAGCTATCAGCGCCCGCCGATGCTCTACGAATCTCGGGACCGAGTGTTAATCACGTGCACGCTAATCACGAGTCAAGGGGAGTTCGCGCGTTTGTCGCGGAAATTAATTGAGATCGACCAGATCGACTGAAATTGACGAACCGCCTCGTAGGATCCTCGATTCTCGTCACGGATGAGATACACGGCTGAATAAATTACACTTGTATATTTTGCGGATCCCGAGTAGTAATCGCGAAGCGTCGGGCCGCGGGAAAAGCCGGTGTTAAACAATTACTATCGAGGGATGGCGGGCGAGGCGATCGTCTCGGACACGGCGAACAGCGGAGGTCTCAATCACGAGTCTGCCCTGCAGTAACAGCATCTAAATCAATAGAGGGTGCCGTTGCGTTCTGCGAACAAAACGGCGCGCAACCTGGGCGCGGGGTGTGTTGTTGGCGGTTTGTAAGATTAGAGGCAGGCGGCGGGTACGAAGCCGAAGAAGACCACACGCCGTGCGCCGTGTATATATATGCGCACAGTTCCCTCTGTCCTCCTTGCACTCCTCCAACAACACGCTCGTCTACGTTCCTTCTTCTCTCAGGTTCGACTGTTCGCTCCTTTTAGCTGTTCCACCTGATTTCTTCTTTCACGTTCGCCCGCTATGCTCTACCTGACTTGTTCCTCCTCCTGCGCTCGCTACACCCGATCTCTTTCTTGTCCCGATCGTTCCTCCTGATTTCATTTACCGAGAAACGGACCGCGAGGGTTATTTATCGCGCGTGTTCTGGGCTACCGGAATCGTCTACCCGGATGATCTTGCGTTCCGGGATTGACGTTCCGTCGAGGAGAGGAAGGCACGCGGTGATCAACGCGTACTTGAAAACCTCAGTTTCACAGTGTTGGACATTAATCGATTAAAATTTTCTGAGAATAACATAATCGGCAAATCAAAATAAATCGTCATATATGTAATCATGATTAATTCAGTCGTTTGACGATAAATTAATTATTAATTGGTGTCAGTCAATCAAATCCGAGTTTGATTAATAATTCATTTCATCAATCGATTAAGTTATTTGTGATTTATGTGTAAAAAGTTTGATTAATTTTATTATTAATAATTATTGATTTACCAGTCATTTTAGTCAACATTAAAACATTTTGATCGATTAATGCTCAACACTGCTTGATGTTTAGATTATTTTCGCCATAAATCGATTTTTTCTTTATGTCATTCTTTAAATAAGATCGGTATAATTCAACTTATTTAGCTGCCCCGTTTATTGTATTCTGTTTTTAAAACGCGGTGATTTATAAGCAACAAACAAATGGCAATGAAGGAGAAAAGCATGAAGCGGTAGATAGTGAATTAAATTATTCACACAAAACACCAAGTAAATGTTCGATGGAAAATATTTACGAAGATATTTGTGTCATCGATATTATATCATTTCATTAGAACGTTGCGTATCACGCAAAGAAAGATTAATTGATTCACGAACAGTCAACTACACTTCAGCTGAAGCAGCCAGAATGTTTGATTATGACAATTGACTTTAGTTGTCCAACTGAACTGCGTTGTTATAACCAAACAGTCTGGCTGTTTCAGCTGAAATGCGATTGGCTGTCCGTGAATTAACCAATCTTTTTTCCGCGATTCCCTCACTGTTTTCCTCATCTGGTTATTCGATCTCTTCGTTGTTCGCGTCATAAGTCGGCCCAATACATTCGCCGACTTTGCTGCTAAACCATCACGCCGCGATCCAATAAAAAGACGCGTAAAGGTGCGAGAGACGCGCGTTCAGAAAGACTCTGTCTTCCTCTGCTTCCCTCCGTCCTCGTCTTTGTCTTGGTTCTCTTTTTCTTTCGCGGCGGTGCATTAGCGGCGGGTACAACGTGTCCGACTTTCTTCTTGTTCTCCCTTCCCCCCTTTGTTCGAATCATAATACAAAATTTACTCGTCTTGCGAACTTTCGCGGCGGAAGGATCCACGCGCGTGTTCTCGGAGACTTTAACGCCAGTGTTTACGGTCGAACTTTATTCTCTATGGAGCGTGTGCTATCGCGACACCTCGGAAGTTAATGTTTACCGAGGTTGGTTTTAATTTCTCCGGGACACACACACACTCTGGTGTCGCTCGGCAACACGAAGCAAATTTTAATCGACAACGAAGAAGATACGAAGGAAGAACGGACAATTTGCAGCAACGAGATAAGATTTCTCAGTGGCGATGGCAGCAACAGGTCAGGCACCTTCGCGAATACTCGCGCGAAGTTGCAATCTCGAGCATACGTCTAATCAAAACTAAATCTTCCCGACAAGGTAATAAACTCGACACATCCACGCGCCACGGGACGCCTAATATTTCTTCGCGCCCCTTACCGCCGGTGATAAATAAAAAAGAAAGGAATTCCCTTTACGTCCGCCGACCAGATCTATATTTCTAGCAATCTCTCAGCGCGCCCAAGAAATTGCCGGGCGTTCCAATAAATAAAATACGCTCCCGTATAAACACTCGCGCGTACCGCTCATATTGTGCGCGTAAATATGAATTAACATCGCGCAGTTGTCGATCAATTCGCACAAAGCGTCTTCGTGAAACAACGTTCATCCTTTTCTACGCGAAACTCACGAATACTCGCGATATGTTTGGACACATTCTTTTCCAGATATATAGAAAAGTCTCAGCTTTTAGCTGATAGTAGCGCAATGAAATCAAAGTCTGCAAACAGATTATTTCGAAAATCTCCCGAGTCTTTCACGAAAGTTCGAATATTCGTTTAGATCTCGCAGATCCAACGTTTAGATCTCACAACCCAACGTTTACGCGGAGAGTTAAATAAATAATTCACATAAAACAACAAACAGAAAAATATCGGTATAATAACGATATCTCAGAGATAGAAAGTGCACTGAGAGAAATTATCCAATAAAAAATTAACAAACGGATATTTCCGATCAAATTCCGGCCAATTTTTATATCCGATCAGGATATTCGATTAAATTTAATCGGATACTTCCGATTATAATGGCATTTCATCAAATAAATCGATGAAAACTTATGAACCGTTATTTCACATCAAATATTTTCTGGATCGGATACAAAAATGCATCGATATTTTCGTCAGAAATATCCGTTTGTTAATTTTTTATCGAATAATTTCTCTCAGTGTGAAGTTTTCTTATTGTTATCGTTATGAAAGCGTAAGAATTGCGCCTATACCTTCCAGTTCGAGACAATTTCGTATATTGTAAAAACTGATGTGTTAAATTTAACATTTCATGTGTCCCAAATCATCCACTTTTATTTATGTGTAAATTTAACACAAAACAAATGTGTTAAAAAATAACACGTAATAATATGTAAAAAATTAACAAAAGAATTTAACACTTGAATAGCGTCAGGAATCACAGTTTGTGTTAAATTGACATATATATAATGTTAAATTCACTAAAATAAAATGTTAAATTCACTAAAATAAAATGTTATTTTAACATTTGAGAAAAGTATTAATCTATGGTTTTAATGAAATGAAAATGTTAAATTGACATAATCTATGTCTGACATATTAAACATGTCAGTTTAACGCAACCTGTGATTCCTAACGGTATTCAAGTGTTAAATTCTTGTGTTAATTTTTTACATATTATTACGTGTTATTTTTTAACACATTTGTTTTGTGTTAAATTTACACATAAATGAGAGTGGCTGATTTGGGACACATGAAATGTGTTAAATGTAACACATCAGTTTTTACAGTGTAGGAAATGATAACGACTCCGCGATCGCATTACACGTGGGGATAAAAGTGTTGATTTCGGATTCAGCGAGCACGCGAGCTGCGTACGTACGTACGTACATACGTACGTACGGCCGCGATCGTCACGGTCGCCTTGCCTCAATTAACTTAACACACGGCTACGCTATAATTACGCTTATCGCTCGATTAACCCCGGGTGTTTCATTTACGTCCGCCCGGTGGTTTATGCGGTGTTAAAACGACGAGGTGCAGCCGCGGATATCGCTTCTGGAAATCTTTTCAGCGAGCGCGGCCGCTCGATCGTCGTGCGGAAGACCTCGATAGGTCGATAACCACTTTATGAAAATTCTATTTCGAGGCAACGCGCAAAGAGATAATGCGCAAAGAGTGGCCGGTATTATATATTCATAGTTCGATCTTATACTTAAGATCATCTTAAGTACTGTCTTAAGATGTCATGAATCAATCACAGAGCCGTATTCGCATCTTAAGACATTACTTAAGCGGTCTTGAAATAAGATTCGGCTATGAATACTGGTCTATGTGTGTGTACGAAAATTACCGAGAATCCCATCGATGGAGTGGTTTCGGCGCGGGTCGTCAGGGCGAGTCTGGTTGGCTGGTCCACGTAGGAGTCTGGAGATGCTGGACACCGACGGTGCCGAACTTTTGTCGCAGACTCCGTCCTGCTGGCAGAACCGCGTTGGACCAGTTAGTATTACTTTCCTATATCTCTTTTTCGCAAATTAAGCGAATTAATCTAAATCAACTTCTCGCTCTGTTTCTCTCTTTCGCGCGTATCGAAATTAAGACATAATATTGCACAAGTCTAGAAGTGGAAAGTGAAAATATTGATAAAATAAAAAAGAATAGAGCAAAGCTTGATCGATGTTCGATTAAATGCAAAGAAAGGAAAGATCAGGTGCAGTGTTGGGTATTAATCGATTGAAACTTCCTTTGACTTTGCCGAATAATCGGCGAGTCAGTAATCAAAATTAAGCGCCGTACACGGAATGATTTTATAATATATTAATTAAATCGAAATTACTTGTGATGCACGACTATTGAACTAATATTCTAATAATTGATTTGCCGATTATTTTAATCAAAGACAATTCTAATCGACTAACGCCCAACACTGGTCAGGTGATCTGGTGTAACAAAATGAAAAAGAACAAGAAATGATGGCGAAACTGAGCGCTTGTTTACGCAGGCATGACGATATAGGTTAGCGTAACGAACAGACCTTGATTAATTTGTCGCGTATCTCCCAGCTAAAGATCCCAGGGTTTTGTCGCTTGAGATCCTCGATTCTCGCCTCGACCTCCGGCGTCGCGACTCGCGGCTTGCTGCCACCGATCACACCGGGTCTGATCGATCCCGTCTCCTGATACCGATTCAGGATCTTCGAGACGCAGCCGTGAGAGACCCTCAGTTGTCGCGATATGACGCACGGCCTGATGCCGGCGGCTGCCATTTCGACGATCTTCAGTCGGATATGGTTCGGTAACGGACGGCCGTTGATGAACACACCGCCCAACTGATTCACGCGACCCTGCCCTGAAAAAATAACAAGGCAAACCGTCTCTACGTGTCTCTACTATGTCGGCTGTTGCCAAAATGTCGGGTAATATTCCGACGGGTGCGCGGAGCTAGTATCGTTCGCCGGCAGAAATTGAAACGTGGCGATGACGTAGATTAGAGTTGCTACTTTGAAAGGCGGAATTTTCCGGCGGAACAACCGATACGATTTTACGTACCGTTCCACGAACCGGAACAATTCGCGAGGCTAAAGGCGTATCGCGCCGCGCGCGAGACAAGTGGCAAAGAGCGCGATGTAGTCATAATGGAAGCGCGGCCGAGGTGAAAAATAGCGTATTTTCTCGCGCCCGGCACAATGCGGCACGCGGCAGCGTGTGCGAGTGTGCGCGCGATTATTTTCCCAAATGAAAATGAGTCTGACAAAAGTGAGACCACAATGGACGGGGAGAAGAACAGGAGGCACTCGGCGCGCGTATTTCGCGCAGAAGGAGAATCGCTTAGCGGACAAAGCTTGGCGGCGACACGCGAGGTGCCGCTCAAACGTCGCTAATTACCGCTAATTACCGCCAACCCCCTGAGAACACCCCCTTAATTAACTTAATTATAATGACGAAGTCAAACAAACTCGGCGTCGTTACACGCGAGACGAGGAGAGTCTGACGCGAGGAGGGGCGGAAAGAAGCGGAATGAGATGCACGGCGATTCGCGCGATTGCGGTGGCTCTTACGACGCCGAAGGTGGACCTCGCGTGCTTGAGAAAACCACGATGGGAGACGCGTCGCGAGTCGAGTTACGGTCCTGGTTTTGCGCGGAGCAGTAAAAGCGCCGGGCGGGACGGGACGAGAGGGGAGGGGACAGCGCTTTAAAAGCGCGCGGACAATGACAGGCCTCGGACTCGGGTAACTGGCGACACGGCCGTATTCTCTACATTCATATTTGCATAAAGGGACTTTGCATAAGAGACGGACCACGCCGCGAGAAGGGCATCCCACGAATGCGGGAAGCGCATCCCAATGTTGCGCAGATGCGACTTCATATCGAGAGATTATTCCTTTTTTTAATTATTATTATTGATTTATCATTATGAATCGTGTTCGGTCTTTATTCTCGGTGGTTCCCTCAAACACTCGTTGATAACACAAAATTATCGAAAAGCGACGAGCCGCGGTCGTTTTGTGTGCAGCGGCGGGTTTGAAGGGCGGCGGTATGAGAGAGAGAAGCTCGCGGGGCGTCGCGAATCCCCGACACCCAAACATTTTCTCGATCGCAGTGCCAGTTCGCGATATATTCTCGCCGGCTACCTGCTGCGAGAGCGCGCGAAGCCTAAGAGTCCGCTAATTACCACGGCGTAATTCAAAAGACGACCCCCTTCCCGGGCGCGTCCAGCTCTCTGGCACAAAAGTAGTCCCGTTTCGTCGTTCATCACGGCTCTCGAGATTTACATCCCCCTTCGCTCTCCCTTCCTCCCTCCTCCCTCCCGCCGTCCCTGCGCCGCCCCCGCCGCGAGACCCCTCGCACTCTCGGTAAGGACATATCCGCGAGTGCGTGCAACGCACACACTCCCACACACGCCGTGCAGGCGCGTATAGGCCAGGTTACGGTGCCGGCGGACACCTCTCCGGTGTATGACGTCAGTCAGGCCGCGGGGCCCGACGGGATTACAGGCAAGATCAAAAGGCGCCGACCATCGCCGCCGCCGCCGCCGCCGCTGCCGCCGTCGCTCCGATGACGACGACGACGAGTTCTCGGCCGCGGATATTTCTAGCGTAAATTTCTGATAAACAAATTGAAAATCAGATCGACGAGCAATCTCCTGGGTAATTAATTAAGAAAACATAGCGATGAGAATACTGGAGACAAAGAAATTAGCGCTTTTAATGAAGACAGATATGGGTGTTTGTAGAATTAAGATATGGGTGTTTGTAGAATTAAGAGGGAAGAAGAACGGGAAGAAAATATACAAGTATTTTTCATAACGATGATTTGTAAAAGGTTATAATAAGTCAATAGGAAGAAAATAGGAGCGAAGTAATTATAATAAACATGTTGACTGCCATGAAAGTCATCGGTGCTATATTATTATCGTGTCTTATTAACCCTCTAAAACCCTAAACATAAAAAAAATTACGTAAATCCTAGACATGGATAAATTTTATCCAACGTATTTTCATTTGCTCTTAATTGCTAGAAAAATGATCGTAATCCATAGTTTTTTTTTCATTAGTGTAGGAAACGTCGAGGAGTATGAATTTTTTAGTACTTGTGCGATTCAAAGTTGCAGTTGAAGAAAGTTGTGATGAAAAAATAACACATTTAAGAACGATAATGTTTGAAAAAATGTATCGTTTTTAAGAACGATAATGTTTGAAAAATTGGACTAAATGAATAAAATAAATTTTATTTGTAAGCCGTTTAGGGTTATAGGCTTAATTTATGTGTGAAACGTGCAATCACAATTGTGTCATGTAACACATGAAATATACAGTCAATGAGACGAACTGAATATTGATTTACCGTAACTTTGGTAATGCAAGCTTTGGTTGATCATTCGAGTAATCATCGAAAATCGGCGTGGCAGTCAACGGCGTGTTAAGAAACGGAGCTAACGGTGATGGATGAATTTTTTCATGGAGCTGTGTAGCGGGAGGCTGCATTTATTGTTGAAGAATCGGCGCAAATGAATAGGTCAGGCGCAAGATGAATGCGAGGAACGCTGGACTACCACCATTCGGTCGCACGTGCAAGACGTGCAGCGCATGCACCCGTCGTGCACCCGCTTCGCTCGCGCATTTTTATGAACTCCGGCGACCGTAACTGGAGTCACGGAATCGAAAGTTGCGTGAATATGCCGGCCGTGCTCTCTCTCTCTCTCTCTCTCGCGCGCGCGCGCGAGCCCTTTACTCGTGTTTTTGTTCCCTATCTGTCGATGAACATTGTTCGGCTCGTTGTTGCGAAACGCGCCGCGCTACATGCATTCGCGGGTTTCCCACTGCTCTCCGTGCGATTAGTCCCGGCATCGATTGCGGCACACACAACGCGAGAGTGTGTGCGGCTGTTTTCTCCAGAGAGAAATGGCTTCTCGCCCTCCATGATATCGCGCGATACTCGATGTTGAATATATGGAGTGAAATAAATGTTGGAGGAATGATAATGCGAGGAATGCGCGTGAAGACAACAGACGACGAGGAGAAAGCTCGTGAGTTTGCAGATAATTCGTCGAATTATTTCCCTCTATTAACGCGCCACAACATTTATTTGAGCTTGAAAAAACGCGACCATCCTGAGAGGACAATTTAATCCGAGTAAGTGAGCTGGTGAGTGATTTATGTCCTCGCGTAATTTATTATAACGCGGTCGCGGTAATCATTTTCGCGAGAGGCTGGAGGAGAGGACCACCCTGTACGGAACACAGCGGCTGAGGCGCGTAGTAGAAACGGTAGAAGAAATAATTTTCAACATGAATTATTGATAACGGGCGATTGATTGTCAGCGATCAGGCTAATATCCATGATCCGCGCGATGTGACGCGATATACAGAGGGAGGGAGGGAAGAAGGGGGGAGGCCCCTCTGATTTGAATTCGCTCGACGAAGCGTCGCGCATCGTTAATTTTTACCTGCGAGGCAGCGCCGCCGCCGCCGCCGTCGTCAGGCCGAGGTTTGACGACGGGTTCTTAGACATGGAGGAACATAGAGAATTCCCAAATAATTGCGGTGCACGCTATTGGCCGGACGCTCATTACCCGCCGTGGCGAGCCGCGACACAGGCGTCAATTATAAACCTTTTTCTCATATCGGCCTCGGTAATAAATTATTACGTGCGAAGAGCCGACGAACTGTATTTTGTGCCCCGCGACATTCGCGTTCGCGCGCGAGCTGTGCAATTACGTACGCTTTCTCTCTCTCTCTCGCTCCCTTCATCTCTCTACGAGATTATTCTTTATGGTAATCTGTCCCCTTGTCGCGGACGCTTATCGCTCTTAAGCGGTAATAACAACGTTATCTGAGCATTAATTGAATTGCATCAAGGGTAAGTTGCTCCAGGCCACGCAATCCAATTTTCGCGTGATAAAGTACGCGAAACACGATTCTCACATATTCGTGAGAACTTGTCACTCCGCAGAGACTTTGCAGACTCGATTATTGTTTCATCGAGAAAATCAGTCTTTGACTAATAGCCGGGTTACACGGGATCTGTGTACGCACGGAGAAAGAAATTTGGTCGGACCAACCGAATATCTGATGAAGTATTAATGAAGTTACCAGCATTTCGCGAATTAACAAAATTCTGATTAACCAGACAAGGTTTCTGGTTAATCAGAATCTTGCTAACTTGAACTGAATTTTAATAATTTCAGTCGGAATTCTGGTTCGTTCATAGCGCGAGATATTTGTCAAGCGACGGGCATCCCGTCCTCCCCCCCCCCTCCCTTCCCGCGAAGGAATCTCAAGAGCAAAGGGTTGATTTCGCGGGCACGGAGGGCCGACGTTTCGTCAATTACGCAATCTGCCGCGAAACGACCGCGATCTCTCGTCACTACAGGCGGTCCGATGCGTGGAAGATGAGAGCGGAAGGTACACGCGCATACCTGAGTGGGAGTAACCGCATGTACCAAAGGGATATGCATGTACTTAGCGTGCGGTGTGAGTTCCGAGTCGCGAAGGCTTCAATCAACGTGCCGTCGCCCGGGGCCTATCCGATATCAGACATTAGGTACCCACGGGGTCGGCGGCTACGTACCTCGGGACTCTCTCTCTCTTTCTTTCATACGTCGTGTTCCGACGCCCACCACGCGCGAACCCGTGCGGATCGAACTTTATTCGAAAGCGCCCTGCTGGTCCCTTCTTGGTGCTCGCGTGTGCCCCCGAACGGTGGATAAACAATTGAGATTTAAAGGCGCGCGCGCGCGCGCGTGAGTGAAAGCGATCCGGATTGTCCGTTCGCCATTCTGGATAGTCTCGTTACGTTACGTATCGTTATTATTATTGCCTCTTTCACTCGCCTCGTCCTTAGCGTCGTATCGAGGCACGCAGTGCCTATCGAGCAAGTCGACTTGCGCGAAACACGCGCGACAATTGGTTTGCGCGCTCCACTGTGAAATTTGAGTATCTTCATTTTTAACCTCGCGCTCTCGAACACGTGGAGTCACCGGTGGCCCACGCTGAACTTTCGTTTAATATTTTGCCTTTAAAAGGTGAAATATGATCATGAAATATTTCTGTAAATATTATGAGACACATGTAACATGTCATGGTGGCTAACAGTGGCTAACAGTGTGACCGACGCTATGACCTTGTCACGTTTCTTACCAATTTACTTGCAAAACGTTCAATCGGTTGCACGTGAAAAATAAAGTGTATAGGCAATCGATGAGACGAGCCAACGAATGTATACGCAGAGAATATTATAATAAAAATTATTATAGAATTTTATTATAGAATTTTACTATAGAAACCAAGGAATAGATTTCAACATTTTACAATAATTGATTATCCTTTTATTTCATATGTGCACTGAAGAAAAATATAACTAAAAAATATTTATTTGGTGGGTATTAATAACATATTTTCTTTTAAACTTAAATTCTTTATAGCTTATAAAGCTAAAGTTTTAAGAAAAGCTAAGGTTTTAACCCTTTGGAGACTACTTTATGTAAGATGATTGGGACACATGTGTCCTAGTGATCCCTAAAGGGTTAAGAAAATGTATGTCTTCTCATTTGAAAAATATTTTATATTGGTGCAAGTAAATATAAGTTTTACGTACCTACCAAATGAATATCTTTATTTCTTAGATATTTTTTCTCTCAGTGTGCTATTTTAGAACTGACAAACGTGCTATCAAACAATTTACTGCGTTTCTACCAAAATTTGCTACACTTTTTAGCAAGACAAACCTTGCCGACAATCTGTTCCAATCATTAGAAATAAATAATAAAACTGAAAAGAATTTTTATGTGAAAAAGAACTAACATTCTCTCCGTATACGCATCGCGGATTGCATTTATTTTCCATATCTTCCATCATTTAAAATGACGATTAAAATTATCCTTGATAATTTTAACTTCAAGTTGGGCATTATAAAATAATCAGTGGAAAATCATAGCAGTCAATGTGTCAACAGATTGATATATATATTATCGATATGTTAACGAATTAATAATATAATAACAAGTCAACGTGGACCACCGGTGACCCACGTGTGGCATGGATGACTAGAAACGTAAAGTTAATCCGGCATGAAATGCGTTAAGAACAAAATATATTAACGGAGATCTAAAGGAGATTGTTCCGGAGATTATCGAATTTTTGCCTCAACTGCTTCTTGAGATTTATATGCCGTTGTCGCGCGGTGTTCCCTACTTCATAAATGACACAATGCGAAACGACGCATGGGCTTCCGTGCAATTACTTATGCGCGATCTCTCCTTTCATGCTCCTAAATCATTATAGTCGACGATACGCGCCACGCGTTGCATTACGAAACACCGAACCTGTGCGTAGACCAGTCTTTATGTTCGAATTACGTAATGACGCGCGGGACCTGCGGGCACGCGTTTTCGCAGGCGGCAAGCTTCGAATTGAATTGATCGGCCGAACCGATCGCGGATCAGACATTTACGGCGCTGTAAAGATGGCAGTCGCGTTATTGGAAGCCGCGCCGGGAACGTGAATAACTCAGCCGGAGCGCATCGTAAAACCATTAACATCGGCTGTAAAATATCCGCGGGACTGTTGCAGTGACGCCCGCAAGGCCTCCAAGAGTCTCCCGTGAAATTTGCGTCGACGTTCATTGCGAGATCCTACGTGACGCGGAGGAAGTGTTTCGCGGAACGACGGAAGTCGGATTGCTGCTGTTTTTCTCGCGTGTGTCACGAAATTATAAACACCGTATGTATAAAAAAATAGAATTAATATATCTCGGCGATACTGAATGCATTTGATCGAGTCGGCGCATAACACGGATTCGACAAACTCTTGAAACGCAAAAGTCACGCGAGTGTCTTCCTTAATTAACTCGAAACTTTCGATTAACGCAAAGGATCGCGCCCTCAATGAAAATATTTGAATTAATGTTTACTTAAGGAGACTAAAATTTCTAATTATTTAAATAATATCTGAATGACTCATAATGGCAAAAGTCGCAAGGTCCTTATAATTTTCTACGTCGCTTCCGAATAATCCGGGAGCTCCCGGATTATCAAAATCCGCACCTTGGAAAGGGTATCCAGTGAAGTAGGGTGCCATGTTGAGAGTGCTGACTGCCATCTAGATGTTGCTTCCAATCTTTCTCTCTCTCTCTCTCTCTCTCTCTCTCTCTTTCTCTCTCTCTTTCCCTCTTTCTCTCTACCTGTTCCTTTTGGTCACCCCAGCACACTACCACAAGAAAATTCAGAAACCCACGAGTCCAAAGTCTACCCTCTCGATCACCGATACCCGGCTCACAACTCCTCACTTTCCGACGCGTCACAATCGCCAACAGTACGTCCAATGATGACGAGCAAACGTGTTGTGGTGGCAAGAAGATGAAAATCGTACTAATTGCGTGTACGAGTCCTCCGCAGGATTCTACCGCGCCGTGGCGAAACGGAGCTGGCTCGCCTTCCTTTTTATTTTTTACTGCGAAGCGAAGCGGGACCTGGTGGCTTCGGGGTCTCGACTCGAACTGCCGGTACCGGCAGTCCCGCAGTCGCGATCGTCGGGGGCACGTAAAGAAACGAGAGAGGCAGGCCAGGAAAGGAGGTAAGCCGGAGGAAGGCTCCGCCTTCGTTGTGGGGCCCCTTTGAGAAACCTTCGATGTCGGTCCCAGCCGCGGCTCTTCCACGGTTTTATCGGCACGGTTGCATTGGTCACCTGCCAGGTAATTTCATCGCGACGGAGGTGGTCGCATGTCCAGCTCCGCCTTGGAGAACCACGACCTTCCTCCACCACCCACGAGTGACGGTCGTGGTTGCGGTGTGTTCGGGCTTGCCGCCCTCCTCCGGCGATATTGATGTCGATGTCGATATCGTGCGATCGTGCGATTCCCGCGGTCGATCCGCGCCGATTTCTTTCGCGCATTCGACGCGGCTCTCGCGCTTTACGATCGGTAAGGGGCGACGGACGAAGGGAGGGAGTTTGCCCGCGGTGTCCTTAGTCGAAATTTTGGCTCGTGTCAGTCCTGCAAAATGCCGTCGAATTTGAAGGGTCAGACAATGGAGAATCTCGGCATACAATATACATATTATTGTCCTACCTTGATGATACAAATCATTGCATTACATAATACTTATCACTGATTTCTGCGTGCTGAAACTTGAAGAAAGAGAGAAGCTCTTTTTCAAGAATTATTTAATATTTCATTACGCTCAACCTGCGTTTAACATTCACTCTTAATAAAAAAATTGCATTGTGTCTGTATAGTGTAATGTTTTAAGATTCTTCGTTGTTTCTCAAGTTTGACGGAATTTACAGGTTTAATGTAAAAAATTTCTCAAGTTTGACGGAATTTACAGGTTTAATGTAAAAAATTTTAATTTGCAATATTCTCGCGGTTCTCTGGATTGATTTTGAGTACGAAGAATGCACAAAGCCGTTGTTACTTTATTAGTGTCACGGCAAAGTACTTTATTGAATGTAAAAAGCCTAATTTCTTCGGGGGACGCACGGTGCGACTGATTATTTTTCACTCAGACGGTTGCGGTCCCCGGTGTAAATATCGCGATATCCGATCCGTTGAATTCGCGGCGGAGCGCGTCACGGTTCTCGTCGACGTTCTCGTCGTGAGAGCCGCACGCCGCTGCGTCCGTGCCATCATGCATCGCGTGATCTCGCCAATGAGATCGCGCGAAGTTCAGAGAGACCCGCTCCCGCGGTCGCGATTCGGCGCGCATCGTTAATTAAAATTAATTACGTTTGCCGAGTAATCGCGCGTTTAATTGAATCGCGGTACACCACGATTGCGACGCCCTGCCGAGACTTCCGCCCGAGACGAAGGCGGAAAATGGAACGGCGGAATCGACATTTTGCACGGACACGCTCGCTCTCGCGTCGGCGTCGGCGCGTGTAATCGCGATCGCGACGATATCATTATTCCCGTTTAATTAATGTCGTCAAATCCGATTTCGCGGATGAGAACGATCGTCGGAGACGGACAACGGAGAGCTGGATGACCGGCGAGTGGCCAAGGCGCGTTCCCGCGGAACCTCCGTGACGAAACGAGATCGTCGCGCGGTGTCCTAGAACGTATATGGAGGAGGGATCGCCGTCTCTTCCTTCCCTCTTGGGACATTAGACATTTCGGACAGGTTCCCCGCCGCGTCGAAACCACCTCGTCTGATTCGCGTGTAATCACTTCGGACATCGGGCGAAAAGCCGCGCGCGGAGGACTCGCTCTCTCGCCCCCGGAACAACCCAACCGAGGAGGAGCCCGAGGCTGCACCTTGGGATTACCCAAAGATTCGTTTGTAACCGCGAGAGATTACGTCTCGATGAATACAACGATCGCTTCTGAGCGAAAGCAGCGGCACCGTGTAGACCATGCGACTGATACGCCATTTAATCGATCCGAGTCGAGACATTATCTACATTAACCGCCACGTCGATCAACGCGGCGGTTTTCCGGGAGGAGCGCGAGGAAGGAAGGAAGGAAGAGAGAGAGAGAGAGAGAGAGAGAGAGAGAGAGAGAGAAAGAGAGAGAACTAATTAATCGCGGACCGCGCTCGACGCCAGGCATGATCGCATTAATCAGCATCGAGCGCGTAAGAGACCGGCGAAGAAGACCCTTTACGCGAAATTTATGCGCGCCCTCGCCGCCACGGAAAGTCACCCCGATCGGACACGCCGTTGCGCCTTGCCGCTCGTCATTAGGGGGATAATGCATATCTTAATGATTACGAAACGAAACACTGACACCGGAATGGATACGTAAGTACGTCCGATGAATGGCGTCCCGGGCGATCCACCGGCGGAGCGTCCCACGCTCCCGCAATCAGCTCCCCATAAACTACAATCACGACACGTGCTCGTGTGCTCGTCCCCGCGACTCGTGCGCGTGTTCCTTGGAAATAGACGAATAATCCGCGCGGATTAACTGCTCGCCGCCGCGCACCAATGTACCCTTCACTCTCTAGATTTCTTGGAGTGAAATTTCACCCCAGAAGAGAGCAGAGTGTGACCGGCCGAGTTGCTCGGATCCGTGTGATTTTTCACTCATCACATGGGGTGAATTCGCCACTTCGAATCGTCGATTGACTTCTCTTCCACTCGGAACCGAACAGTGAGTTTGATGCATTCCACCGTGACGGGCAATAGTTTCGCGTAAATCGATTGAAACATTCGAAACTCGTATGAAAGTGGAATTAATGGTGTGAATTTCGATTACCTAGTATCCAAACCTGGACATAGAAATATTGGATTATACTGACAGTTCCAATCGATTTCTCTAGATTTCTCTCTCGAGTGAAACATTCACTCTTGCGATTTCGAGTATTTCTATTGTATCACTTGAATAAATTCTCACGTTTCGACTTTACTCTGAGGAACTTAGAGAATATCCTCCAAGTTTCACGAAGTGAAAGCACTCAAAAAGTCGAGTGACAGTCGTCACTCGAATTCGAATAACTTTCCACTAATACAGAGTGAATTTTTTACTCCGAATTGTCGAGTGATTATTACACTCGAACTCGAAGGGAGGATCTGATGCATTCTATCGTAATTGGGATAATTCCACTCGAAACAATTGAAATATTTATTTCTACAAAGTTTGAATTCATTGTGACTTGGTCGCAGCTTCCAGTATAGCTTCAAGTGAATTTTTACTTGTTTTGAGCGCGTCTCGAGAGCATGCTTCGACAAATTCGAAATTCTTATCAACGCCTTGAAAGAAATCCGACCGCGGGCTCAACTTTTATGCTTGAAATTCGTTTCTCGCAACGTGTGCGCGCGATTCGCAGCCTCCGCGCCCGCTAACCTCGGGCAAAATGGGAAAAATACGAGCGTGCTCGCGAATGCTATCGCACGTCGAGTCAATTATCGCCACATGTCGATCCGTCGAAGGAGACGCTAAGCGGGCTGCGAGAGAAGAGAAAAGAATGAGATAGAAGTGCCGGCTGGTCGAACGCCGTGAGTATGCGCGCAGAAGAGGTTGTAACGGTGTTACGTGCCATTAAAGACAGCAAACATCGTAGCCTTTATGCGCTGTGGAAAATCACGAGATTGTTCGGCGACATTACCACCAATGTCCGCGGATTCTAATAATCGTCGCTCCCACGACGGCTCGCGTTCGATCCACGAGACATCTCGTCATCCTCGCGCTTGGTTCTCGTCGTTTGTAACAATGAATATATCTACCTATGAGCAAATCTGCCTCTATAAGAAATGAACAAATAATGTTTACAAAGATGATGCGTTCGAGATAATATAAATTTTCTTTTGTGCAGCAGTATACTAAGAAAAAAGATATCTAAAAATAATAAAAATTTATTCGGGTACTAAGAATATATATGGGTAGTTACTAATAATATATATTCACTTGTATTAATATACAATTTTGAATAAATATACATTTTCTTGAAACGTTAAGAAAAGTATAACTTTTCATGAGAAAGCAATAGTTTATTCTAAATATTTAGATAAAAGAATTTAGATTTAAGTAAATATGTCATAAGTATACTCACTAAAAAGAAATATTTATTATTTTTTATATTTTTTCTCACAGGCATACAAACACATACCGTCGACCAATGGAAACGCGACTTTCTCATGGAATATATGGCGTCTCAATCGACGATTTTTCGTTGACAAAGCATCAATAATTTTTACACACCCGCGGAGAGATCCACGATATCTTTTTTTTTTTTTATAAACGCGCGCGCCCGCGGCTCGAATGATCAATCGGTCTGCCGGGATCGATCGAGATCGATCGTCGCGCGCGATCTTCCGAGCATCTACTACTCGAATGCTATAATTGGTTGCGTTCCCCGATGTGAGACAAGCTCAGTTCGTCTCAGATAAACCCTTTTCCCTTGGGCACGCGTCTCTCTATGTGAACAGGTCGATCAGTAACGACGAGGTGTCAAAGAAATGTCGCCGCATAAAAACGGTTCTCTTGGGACGAGCGCGCACCTAATTGTTATCTCGTCGAACGAAAGAAATCCTTGTGTCGAAATTTCTCGCAGGACAGTGCCGGCTTTGTGCCGAAGGGGCTTCCGCTTTACCGTGCCATATTGCTAATCCCGTTCTTCCAGGAATATTTGCCCGAGTAATCCGGATAAATAAACAAACTGATCTTCTCGGATAACATAATTTTCGAAGTGACGAATTGTGGTTGTGATTGTCTCAGCAATTATTTCGTTTTGTTCGTATACAACGCGCGATATTATATACTACATTTTTTATCGATATTTTATCTATATTTTAATACACTTTAGCATTTTTAAATTTGTTGAACAACTTGTAATTTTTAAAAATATTAATCTAACATACAAATTGTTAAACTGTTGCTCTACTACACAAGAATTAATCAAGTACTAGGAAAAGATGAAATATAAAACTCGAGATTTGCGACATTGATACATTTGAAAAGTATTTCGTCACATTTATTGGATTAATTACTTCTTTATTCACGTATGCATAACTTCTTTACGTGGTGCACGTAGGCTTTCCCTCAG